ATAATAGCAGAAGTTAAAAAAAAAAACCAACAGTTCCTGTCAAGAATGCTCCCTATAAGATGAAGGAAAAAGAAACAGAGGTCCACTACCACTGCTACCAATTAATACATCCTAACTACCACTGTAACAAAGCAATACCAAGTATGATGACTGGAAAGGAAGAGATAAATCTTAAAATGCAGATATGATGATCTAACTAGGAAAACCAACAGAATAAAAAACTATAAGTTCAGTAAAGTTGTTAAATAAAATATCAACTTAAAAAAATTTAATAATTTCAAGGTACATCAGCAAGATGGTAGAATAAGAATCCCCAGACTCTTTCCGCCAAAGATACACAGATTTAACAAAAATACATGGATCAATTCCCTTTATAAGAAATCGAGAAACTAGAATTGAGGTTCCTGCATTGTGAGCATGAGCCAGCCACATCAAAACTGCCAGGAAAATTGGAGACATCCGCTCACCTGGCAGAGTGCCATATAATTGGGAGGAAATCTCCACCTTCCAGCTTCTCCCTGAGGATGAAAAGTTTGGATTGCACATCCAATGTCTCAACTTTTCCAAGTACTGCCCAAAAAGACTGCCTTCTCTTCTGACCATATTGGATCACTGACACCTGGCAGGCACTAGGTTCCTGGGGGAGACAGAGAACAAAACCACTGGTTTGAACTAGCATGCCGGCACTCATCACGGCTCCTCTCCCTGCTAAATGCAGGGTGAGGGGTAGAAAAAGCTCATCTCCTAGATTCTCCCCGGGGAGGGAAAGTGTTGGACCATGTATCAAATATTCCAACTTTTCTGGGGTTGGCACTAGCTTGTCTTGGGAACTGGCATATTCTAAACAGCTGGGAGGCCACTGGGATCAAAGAAGGTAATCTGAACTAGGATGCAAACACTACCATAGCCCTACTCCCTAGCCCAGGTCAGAACTAAGAGGCGAAAAACTCCAGCTCCCACCTTCTCCCTGGGGAGGGAATGAGCTAGACCATGTATTCAATGTTCTAATATCTCAAGAAGCTACCTGAGGGATTGGTGCTTGTCTTGGGAACACTGATGGGACCTGGCATACCATAGATGACTGGGGGCTACTGAGAACAGATGGTGGTTTGGACCAGCATGAAGGTTTGAGAGTCTCACAGAAACTCTGATTGGTTTTCTCCTGGATGAGGCCAACACATAAAGAATGGGATCAGTGGCAGTTGTTTCTAATGTGTAGGTATGAACACAATGAGTCAAGGAAAATGAAGAATCAGGGAAACACAATCCAAACAAAAGGAACAAAATAAAGCTCCAGAAAATGACCCTAAGGAAATGTAGTTACAGGAATCACTTGACAGAGAATTTTAAACAACCACCACAGAAATGCTCAATGAGCTCAGGGGAACAATGTGTGAGCAAAGTGAGAATTTCAACGAGACAGAATAACCAGGCCGAAATCTTGGAGCTGAAGAATACAATACCAGAGCTGAAAAATTCAGTCGAGTTCAACAGCAGAAAGAGCACCAGAAACAATCAGCGAACTCGAAGACAGGTAATTGAAATTATTCAAAGGGGCAAAAAGGAAAAAGAATGAAAAAGAGTGAAGAAAGCATAGGATTTTATAGGACACCAACAAATGGACCACAATATATGCATTATGGCACTCCCAGAGGGGAAAAGAGAAAGAACCAGAAAACTTATTCAAAGAAATAATGGATGAACACTTCCTAAATCTGGGGACATCCAGACTCAGGAAGCCAAAGAACCCCAAAAAAGATGAACCCAAAGAAATCTGCACAAGGACACATTATAATCTAATCCATACTGTGACACATGCCACACTGAGACATAACCTCTTAGTCAACAAAGATAAAAAGAATTTTGAAAGTAGCAAGTGAAGAACAATTTGTCATGAACAAGGGCACACACCTAAGACTTTCAGAATTTTTCAGCAGAAACTTTAAAAGCCAGAAGGGAAGGGGATGATATACTCAAAGTGTGTCTGGCAGGGGGAACTCTGCCAATTGAGATTATTATACTCAGGAAAACTGTTCTTCATGAATGAAGGAAAGAGAAACACTTTCTCAGAAACACATAAACTGAGGGAAATTCATTACCACGTGACCTATCTTACAGGAAGTGCTGTAGGGAGCTTTTAAACTTTAAACAAAATGGTGCAAAAC